GAAATCAATGAATAACAATGCTGATGAGGCATAACCCTACATTATGGCCATCAATCAGCAGAACCAGTTCAAATGCTGTTTCGTACGGCAGCAGAGGTTTGGAAAAGTAAATAGAGAAATTGGAAGTGTGTGACATTTACATGCATCCTGCTGGTTAGAAAATAGCCTGCCCTGGCTAGGAATTCAGGGTGCCCCACTCATTGTCCCTTTAGGATCACGTGTGGTACCTCTGGGTCTGACAGCAGAAAATTGTGTTTCGATCTGCTGCTGTTTAATGTAAGCTTCTCTAGGCATAATTTTCTGTGAGCTGAGGAATTTATATCTTAGATGTGATATTAAGCATGTTTTTGCTTAAACTTTAATAATCTCAACCAACTGCAAAGAGGGTTGTAGCTGGAGGTACCCTGGAACCCTATAGAAGCATCTGAAATGCCTCACCTCTCGGTTCCTTCCCCGTCTTCAGGGACACGGCCATGCACACTGTCACTTCGAAGTTAGAAATAGTCTCCGAAATGGCCTCATTGTCTAGTCTTTTGAGCATCCCATTTAATTTTTCAAATTTAGCAACTTGAGCTCCTCTCTTGAAGGCCTGTAGGACACTCGGTCCATGGCCAACCCTTCCTAAGGACCCTAGTGGCCCGTGTCCCTCTGCTGCCCACCTCTTGCAGCCAGCCTGTCCTCTTTCTTTTTTTTGTCTTTTTTTCGTTTTTATCGGTACCGGGGATCGAACTCACCACTGCCTGCTTGCAAGGCAGGCGCTTATGCCACTAAGCTAAATCCCCAGCCCCAAGCCTGTCCTCTTTCAATAGCTTAGTGCTACAGGCAGGGTGTTGCCCTTTTGTGCACTTGCCTTGAACACAGTTTTCCCTTCAATGTCCAACAAAATGGGGGCTGATGCTAGGCTGCCACAGCTCACAAACTCTGTCGAAGGGCTGAGGAGGTAGCTAGGGGATTGGCCTGCAGCAGAGGAAATGCAAAAACTCCATAGCAAATGCCATTTCTCTTAGAGTGTTTGTCTGCGCAGGGTCTCTACGACTCCCTCCTTCTTAGCTCCTAGAATAGCCCACCACCCATTTCCTCCCCTCAAATAAGACTGGACTTAACAGAGAGTATATAAGTTCAAGAGGGGGTGATCATTTTCTCTACTGTGCTCCCTGGTGTTCTTGCTTACCCTGCAGCCTAACACCTCAGGGTCACAGGTCTAGCTGCTGCTTTCTGTGAAAACCCCTTTCAGAATTCTGCTGTTATGATTTAGAACTGAAGTGTCCCCCAGTAGTCTCATGTGTTTAGAGGTGGAATTTTTGGAGGGTGCTTGGATGAAGAGAGTGCTACTCGCATCAGTGGATTCATCCTTTGATGAGTTCTAGGAGTTGCATGTACTGTTAGGAGAAGGCCCTGATTGGAGTCACTGGGGATGTGACCTGGAAGGGTATATTTTGGTCCTGGCTCTTGCCTGCTCCCTCTGTTTCCTGGCTGCTATGGGATGAGCAGCTTTCTTCTACCAGACCCTTCTACCGTGTTTGTCTACCTTGGAATCAGCCAACCATAGACTGAACTCATGGGAGACTGTGAGCCAAATAAATTCTCTTCCTTTACTGTGTCTCAGCCAGGAGAAAGCTGACGAATACTCTGCTTAAGATGCGTGCTCCTGTGCCTCTTTGTATTTTCTCTACTTGGTGCATATACAGTGGACCCCTGAAATCTGTGAGTTATGTTCCTAGCCCACCCACAAACTGTGAAAATTGCAAATTTCAGATACAATCAGAAGAAAGCCCGCAAATGCTTATTTTAATAGTTTAAACCCTAAATCTGCTATGTCTTTGCAGTTGTGTAATTTAAAATAATTAGTAAATATTAATAAAGCCATAGAAGGTCCAGGGTGTTTTGGTAGCATTTTAGGAATGTTCTTTGAAAAGAACAAAACCAAGAACATTAGAGAAAGCTGCAGGCATTACAGCAACCTGTCGTGATGTGGGATGCATCTGCCAGAGATGGGTTACATAGCAGCAGCCAATCAGCGGTAAGGAGAACTGAATAATGCTCTTGGATTGGCTCCTTGCAAGCCTCCCCCGCAAAGGGGGAAGGGGGAAGAAAACTGCGGAGGATAGCTGTAGTTTCTGAGAAATTGTAATGGTTTCTGTGAACAATTATTATATTGTAAGGAAAAATTTGGGCACAATGAAGCTGTGAAAGATGAGGCCTCAGACTCTGAACTGCAGTTTCTTGGGGGTACTGTAATTCTTTGTATTTTAAAATTTATAGTAATATATGGAGGCAAAACTCAAAGGCAAATTCCACGCTAAGCAGAGATGTTTGATCATGCTTCCTGCCTGAGCGCTCAACTACTTAAGTGATCCGACACCCTTTAACCTCTCCTTTACTATGCTCCTCTCCAGCCTACATTTCAACCTTGAGGCTCTGGAAGGATAGTGTCACAGCCAACAGCTCGATGAATACATTTAATTGTTTTCCTCGAGAATAGCTGATAAGATGAAAAGGCAATTAAAATTTGTTTCCTTTATCAAGACTGAGGAGTCAGATGAAAAACTTGAATCCCAATGGTCATTTTACCATGAAAGAGACAGTACTTTGGAAAGTAAATCTGTGAACAAGAGAATGAGTTGATTCAACTGTCTTTGATTTAAAAAAAAAATTCAAACATCTTGAGGAAGATGAAATATTTTCTGTAGAGAACTAGCTTACCTTTTAAATGTGAAGTTGACCAATATAGTGTTTGTGACAATGTTTTCTTTCCTCCTGGAATGTCTACATGGTAAATTTGACAAACGAAGCAGGGGTAGGCATGTAGCTGTGTGTTTGTGTTGTGTTGTGTAGAGCTGAGCACTAGAAATGCTAAAAAGTGTGAAATGTTGGTGGATTTAATTTTTGCTGCCAAATAAATGCCACCTCCAAATATTCCCCACACCTGGATAGAATTAATCCGGTTCCCTACGTGTGATGGGAGAGAAATCATGCGCTTAAGCTGTATCACGTGTCTTGGAAATGTTCCAGACAGACACCAGCCTAGAGAGAGAAATGTGGGTATTTCTAGTGACTAATGGTTAAAGGGTAACATTTCCTGAGTTTCATAAAACAGAATAAAAGCCTTTTTTGAGGTCTGCTTTAAAGGAAATTTTGAAGGAGCTACTTCTGTGAGGAATCACAGCTGTCAGGAGAAGACACCAGCATGTAGAACCCTTTCCTCTGATCACACAGTCCGTTAGAGACAGTCTCAGCTTGATACTGTGCACAGGTGGTTTACTTCAAAGGAACAATAAGAGCTTCAGAAGGAATCCATGGCATAGGTGCCTTAGGGCTTTCTGGACACCTGAAATGCACATGCAAAACACTGAGTGTTGGTGCCTTTCCTCAGAGTCTCAAAAAAACTTAAAGCCCAGAAAAGTTTAGGAAGTGCCCACTGCCTTGTGTCAATATAATTATAGTAAGTCCCTAACATTCAAACACTTCAGTTGTGGACTTTCACAGGTGTACTGTATAAGATTAACTTTGCTGGACTTGGAATGAATCCTTCTTGTGAATGTTCTCCTGGAATGAAACTTGTCTGTGAGGTGGGGACTTACTATAGACTGGTTAGTGACCTCAGCACTCGAACTGCCCAGTGTTAAGTCCGTGTGTGAATGTGTCTGTGCCACAGTCCCAGATAAGATATGAAAAGAAAAACCAAAAAACCCACAATACATAACTAAATGGCACCAGACAAACCAAAGCAAAAATAAACCCAAGAAAAGCTTGATCACTACAGCCAAACAGCTAGGAAATAGTGATCCAGAAAGAAACAGCCATTTTGCCTATAAAGACTTTACTCCAGCTCAACACCAGAACTGCTGCTCCTCTCTGCCTCTTCCCTGGGTCCACTGCCTGGAAATTGGCAGATCTCTTTTTTCCATCCCTTCTTTCAATAATAGGCTACCTTCTTTCTCTGGAGCAGACCTTGAGCAGAAATTTTAGTGGATTTCTCATTGCCATGGAATCCGGAAAGAATAGGAACAAGATTATTTTCTAGTCTTAAAAGAAAGACTTAAAAGTCTATCCAGAATTATATATTCAGCAAAAATATCCATCACAAAGACATTCTCAGATGAAGGGAAATCAAGACTTTATTAGACTAATTAAAAGAATCTTTTTCAGGCAGAAAACAAATGTGGGACATCATAAATGAAGACTGAACAGAAAATGTAAATATGTGACTACATATGGTGGACTCAGGCTTTAAACATTGTTTGGCTAAAAGAAAAATTATCTGAAGTGGTTCTCAATGTAGATAAGTGTTCTCAATAAAGGTAATGAAGGATAGAGGGACCTAAGAGCTGGAAGTTTCTACGTTTCACCTGAAGTGTTAAAAATGCCAATATAACTAGACTGTGATAAATTATGAACACATAATTTTTAGAGCAGTGGTTTTCAACTGAGATGATTTTGTCTATCAGAGGACAGTTAGCCACGTCTGGAAACATGATTACAAGTATTTTTGCCATTTAGTCAGTCATGGTCAAGAATGCTGCTAAACTTCCTAAAATGTACAGGAAAGATGCATGCAACAATGTTATTCAGCCCTAAATACCAAAATGCTGAGGTTGAGAAGCTCTGCCTTAGAACAATCATATGTAAAACTGTACAAAGATATATACTAAACACTATAGGTAAATTAAAATGGAATGCATTTCTTACAATGTTCAACTAAATCACAGGAATGTGGGAGAGGGTGTACAGTCCAACAGAGATCAGAAGGAATAAACAAAACATCAAAGCCATAATAGACCTAAATTCTAACATATTAATAATAAATTAAAAGAAATTATACCCTACTACCTTTATAAAATGTTTTACATATATCATCTCATTTAACCACCTGTATAGCTGAATTATTTCCATATTATAGTAGTGTCAAAAAGCTAAGCATCCTGCCCAAGATCACATATTAGCAGGTAGCAGAGAGTGACTTTGAATGATATCCCATCAAATCAGCGCTGGCTCCTTACCTGGGCCTGCCTCAGTGCAGGGTTGGCTGGCAGGGGTCTGGCAGGGCCACTTGGTACCCGAGGGGTCTGGTGGAGGGGTGGGAGCACTCTCTGGGGTGACTGGGGTTGAGGGATGGCAAGGGTGCTGAGAGGTCTGCTGATGTCCACATTCAGACACTGTGGTGGTCTCCTGTCCTGCAGTCAAAGTAAAAAGCCATGCTGTAATGGGTTTCAGCCGTATCTCTAAATCCGAAGGAAGGAGCCATCCTAACTAACTTGTGTTCTTTGGCCATAAGTGGAGGAGGTGGCAGAGGGAAGAAGTCCAGGGTATCCATGAGGAGGAATCTGTGTTTATACTCCAGGCCAAATTTCCTCCTTCTCTCCCCACCTCCATCACCTTGACACTGGCAACCACTGATCCACTTTCTGTCACCATGAATTAGTTTGCATTTTAAGGGTTGGATGTGAACAGGGTCATAGAGTACACAGATCTTATTTTGTATGGCTTCTCTCAGACTATATTTGAGATTCACCCTTTACATTAAGTATACTAGTGATTAATTCTTCCTTATTGCTAAGTAATATGTCCCTGTGTAAAGATGCCACAGTATACTCTTTTACTTGTTAATAGACAGTGTGGTTATTTCCAATTTTAAAATAAAGTTGTACTCTAAGCTCTCTGGGAATCACATTCTTGCATGTGATCCCAGGTTTGGGGTAAAGTGAGGAATCATGGCTGCCTTTTTGCAACCCTACCCTCTGTCTTAGATTAATGGAGGTAAAATAACTATATACTGAATATGTGGTAATGATTTTTCCAATCATTTTTCATTTCCTGACATCAGTCTTCTTCCCTGTTATAATTTGGATTCTTTTACTAAAACATTCCAAAAAATTTATTTTAATAATACTGGGGATTAAACCCAGAGTCATTACACTGTGCTCATCTCCAGCTTTTTATTTCTTAAAATTCTGAGTCAGGATCACACTAAGTCACTAAGTTGCATGGGCTGGGCTTGAACTTGTGATGCTCTTGCTTCAGCTTGCCAGGGTGCTGGGATTATAAATGTGTACTAGCATATATGGCTAATATTCAAAAATTATATATATGAAAAACTGAATATGAGAGGGTAAACTTAGTAGTAATTCACCAGGGTAATAGGAAAATTGAGACTTCCGGGAACCTTAAGGTACTCTTGGTTAAGGATCCATTCTTTGAAAGAGTGATTTGGGTCGGGCTTCCATTGCTCTGGGCAAGGGAAAAATAGCAAACCTGAAGCTCAAAACTGAAACTCTTAACTGCTCTAGGATAACACCAGGTCAAAGAAGCCCAGCCACCCCCAGGCAGAGCCCCCACACCAAGTCCTTGTGCCTGTCCAAAGCTCACCTTAGCTGCCTGAGGATGTGGCAGCTTACTTGTCAGGCCCTTTCCGTGGCGGATGAGGTGAGCCTGGCCTGGTTGGGAGCCACTGGTTGGCCTGGAAGACCGCACACACCTGCAAGGTAACCACATACGCTGACTAACTTTGTAGGTTTTGTTTACAGTGTCACCCAAAATACAACGCACTTATTTTCATTCCTTGTGGTAAACATGCGAAGGAAAAATGAACATTTTTGAAATATAAAAATACTGATTTTTCCCCTAAAGCCACTATTATGTCAAATTAGTTCTTGCAACCCATAGCAATACAACTTTGAGTCACGCAGGAGATGTCTTGTTGTGAAGCTGGCATTTCAGCAAGAATGTCTTTGAGTACATTTGGATTAAACTACCCCATCTCCTGAAGCATTCCAGTATCCTCATGTCTTCTAAAAATGCATCCATGGAATTTATCAATACACTGCTCATTTATAGAGTGAGCAGCAAATAGTTTGGAGGGAAAATACAGAAGGCAGCTAATCTGGTAGAAATTAAAAACAAAACCAAGCAAATAAAATACACTGAAAAGATCCAGTCTTACTACCACAACAATCTCTTTGCTGAAGACCACAAAGTGAGAAATGGTTTGTAGTAGTATCTCTTGAAAAGATAATGGTACAAAGTGAGGTACCTTAGCTTCTCGATGGTTGTTTTTTTATTTGTAAACAGTAGTCGTATCAAGGTCTTCCTTTTGAGATAAACCGCACAACCAGCAGCCAGGAGACACAGGATGGTCACCAGAATTCCTATAGTTAAGCCTTGGTTATCTGAAACACAATGTATTTACAGAAGGAGGCAGTTACAATAAACCGTGGGAGGTATTACATCATGACATCTATGGCAGAGTGAACTTGGAAGAAATAAGCAGAGATGAGGTGAATAAATCCCCGAATGATGTACTAATAAATTAGTCCTGCTTCAGAGGTCCTGTGCGAGGTCCAATCTATGCTGCTGTCATTATTTGTGATAACTTTGGAGCTTACTAAACAGGAGATGCTGCAGGAAGTGGGACTGTGGCTGGCCCATGCAGCTTCCCCAGCTATGCAGCCATGGTGGCCAACAGAAAGAAACAGGGACCATTACCCAAGCCTCATCAGAATTACAGGTCCCCAAACTAAAATGCTTCAATCCTCTTCATAGACTGGCTACTGTACTTGAAAGCCCTTTCTCCCTAGTATTAGATGTCTGCTTTATCTTTTTTTCTATAATAATTATTTTTGTAATAAGACTATTTCTGGATGTCTCAGCCAGTGAAAAAAGTATGCATGAAGTTCCCCTTGGATTTTTGTTATGTTAGGGACTTCACACTCCAGCCTTTATGGGGTGTGTTTCATGCAGCAGGCATACAAGGGAGCAACAGTTACCCTAGCTCCCTCCTCCTCTCCCTTCAACTCCCAGCTGTGGATCTGAGCAGGTGTTCTCTTCCAGAGCGGAGAGAACACCTTCACACCATGTTTCTGGACTTTGTCCCCAAGAAACATACCCTATCAGTGGTGTGAATATGTCAGATTTGATTAACTTGTTAGGGTAGCTAGAAAAACTTTCCTCTGGTTTCGTGGCCAACATGTCATTCATTTCAGGCTTAGCAACAACCAGGGACTCTGGATAGAGTTCTGCTGTCTCATAACAAAGCTAATTAAAAAGGGAGCAACATGAGTCTCAAACTATAATTTCTAGTTGCTTAAAATCAATCTGTAAGTCATTTTTTTTTTGTAGTGGGGATCAAATTCACAATTTTGCACCTGACAGGCAGGTGCTGTGCTGCTAAGGTACATCCCCAGCCTAATCTGTCTTACACTGAACAATTTATCCAACAGAACATTTACTGGGCCCCCAGCAAACTGCCCTTGGGGTATCTCTAGGGTTGCCTGTCTTCCTGAGCAGCAGTGTCAAACACTGAGTTCCCAGAGTGCCGCGGGGGCAGAGTTGTGACTATTGCCCTCATCTGTGTTCTACAGAGCTGACTTTCCACATCCCCTCTCCAGCCACCATCATCCCTGCCTGGCCTGTGCCACTTCTGGGTCTCTGCGGCAATGAGCTGAGCTCTGCTTAGAATGCAGTGCTCCCTGACCCCTGCAGATCTCAGCAGGCACACAGAAGTCTCAGGAGCCTGCAGACACCCATCCCCACACTGTTCCAGATCCTAGAGTGTGCTCCCTCCGCTTGTCCCCCGGCCCCACCTATCATGCCATGTGCTCCCTCCTCTGCCCTCTCCAGGACCCGAAGAACAGCCAACATGTGGCAGTACTTGCTGAACCAGTGAGCCAGTGTGAGGCCAGAGAACAGTGGGAAGTAGGGACAGTGAGGCCAGGGTGCTGTTGGTCACACCTGCCTTTCGCTGAATGTGTTGAGGGCAAGTGTTACCTTCTAAGAAATGAGGGCAACAGTAGGTGGAGTTAGGCCCTTTGGGGGTTTCATTTATAACGTTCTTACTCGGTACAATGAAGAGTGGGGGACTCTATGGGTTCCTTGACTTTTTGGAAACCATGAAACCTGAGTGCATTGTTCATGCATGTCCACACCAGAGACAGACACCTCCAGTCCCTTTGAATGCCATCAGACTTGCTTGAAAGATACAGAATGGAGTGTGTGGTGGGGGGAGTCTTTGATGGACTGAAGAGTAAACTTTGCTATTTTTGTACAATGAATGAAGCCCCATTAGAATATTAAGTTGCAGCAAGTGACTGCTTGTCAAGGCTTGAGATGGCATTGGGGAAAGAGCCTACTGGACTCAGCCCTTGCTTCTCACTGCTGCAGTAAAAGGCAGGACTTTCTGGGCCTCTTTCTATCTGCTCAGGGCCTGGACCTGAAAGAGTGGAGACCTGGAGCTCTCAGGAACAACCCTGGAGCCTGTCTGTATTTCACGGATGGTGACAGGGCATCCACTGGCCCTGCTTGTGCACCTTTGTCAGATATGCCTGGGAAGTTGGCCTCCCCTCCAGAGCCCAGGGCGTGCTCTGCCTGGCCCTGCACAGCAGTGTTGTGTCTGTTGTCATGGAAACAGTGGCAAAGCTACAGATTCAACAATGCCAGTCACAGCAGGCATTGGGGATGCACAACCTTTTCTGCTACAGCACTAGTCATACTTAAGCATTATGGGGGTTCAGATATATGCCAAGGAGACCATACCAGTCCCTTCCATCACTCCCCACCTGCTCTGGCTCTCCAACTGCTCTCCTGTGCTGGGAGTCTATGTTTTTTTTTTTTTTTTTGCCTTGTTTCACTTTAAAAGGGACACCCTTCAGACTTGTCCTTCAATTGCCTGAAAAGAACACAAGACAGCCCTGTGCTAGGAGATCACTTCTAAAGGTCACCTGAGGAGAAATGGAGGGTTCAAACACTACTGCTACCATACTCAGAGTTTCTCTGTGAACAAGGACTTGTGCCTCAATCTTTGCTGTGTGACACTGGGTGAGTTGCTTAACTTTCCTGTGCTTCAGGTCCTTTATTTAATCATCACCTTGCTTTTAGCACAGTGTAAGGAACAGATGACATCATGCACAGGATTACTTAGCATGGTGCCTGTATACAGCTGCTCAATACACACAGCCAACATTACTTTGCTACCATTGCAGAAACTATGGACTTTATTATAAGGTGTCCTTCTTTCTGGTTAGAGTTGTTTTGTGTGTGTGTGTGTGTGTGTGTGTGTGTGTTTGAGACAGGGTCTTGCTATGCAGTTCAGGCTGGTCTTGTGCTCACTTTGTACAGGCTGGTCTTGAACTCTCAATGATCCTCCCACCTCAGCCTCTCAAGTGCTGGGATTACAGGCATGCACCACCATACTTGGCTGGTCAGGGTTTTAAAAGGCATTAAGCATCACACCTTGTGGCCCCAGCATAGAGAAGGTAGCCTTTACAAAGTCCTTCGGTACGATGATAAAGTTCCAATCTACTTGGGGTTCACAACAGACATTGCCTTAGCTGAGAAAAGTGTTACATGCCAAGACCCTGACAAACTTAGCCAGAGTGCGATGATTAGGTGAGAAGGATGGAGCACTGGAAACTGGGAGAGGACTCAAGCTGCGTGTGAGCCACATGAGTTCCCTGCCCCCCCACTGGCACCCATACTGGTGCTGCACCCCTGCTGATGCAGGGTGAGCCTACATGGCTACCCAACACACCCAGAGCTCAATGCCCATTTAGGGGTACAGGGCTCTCACTCACCTGCTTGTCTGATGGGGCCACTGTCTGTGCTTCCTCCAAAGCCAAACTTGTCACAGAAGGGAGGTGCCCAGTGGGCCTCACAGTGGCAGTTTTTCCTGTTGTTGCATACCTTTTGGAACAGCAGCAGGGTGAGACACCCAAAGGAGCAGTGTTAGGGCACAGCCACTACATGGTATGGTGATAAATCTGTGGACCATAATCTAGCAAACGCACTGAGGCCAGACCCCCCCCTTCCCCCAGCACATACTCAACCAAACTCAGTGAAGGTTACAGAAACAGCCCCAAATAGCATTATACAGGGGAGACTGGAGCCAGAGGCTATACAAACAACACAACCTGAGTGTTAGCGGCCACTGAGAGAATTATAGGTGTTATTACATCTTACCAGCTCCCTGTATCCTTTTTTTTCTCCCCTGTCTTCCTGTCATTCTTAATTTCAAGAAACCCTTAATATCTGGTTGTAAGGAGAAGTACTCTCCACAGTGAGGAGGACCTGGCCAGGAAAACAGAATCAGATGCTAGAGCATCCCAGGCTTGGGACACACTTCTGCCTCTTTCAGACAGGAGGCTCATGGAGGCTGGGTGACTCTGGGACCTTCTGGCCCACTATTTTCTGATGCCTGCGAAGGTCCATGGGAGTTCCACCAACACTTCCTCCAATCCTGCTCTACTTTCTCACTCCTGAAATGCCCACTTTCTACTTGAGTTTCCCTGTGACTATTCGTAGACTACACATCATGCATGGGGGTGGGAAGACAGCAGTGAAGTCCTCTCTTCATGAATAATATGAAGGCTCTGGGATGGTAAGCATGGAGTGCCCTGAGAGGGAGAGGGGGTGCTCTTTGTCTTGTTGGTTCTGGAACAGGGCTTTGACTAGAAGACAAGCATTCTGCATAGAGGGGCCCAGGACTCCTGTCTGCCTAGTTACCAGGAGTCATGGATGGTGGTTCTTGCCTGATTGAACTTAACAGTTCTTATGTATGCAATGTACTGAACCACCACACAAACCAATGCTGTGGTTTTTGTATGTATTTCTGTGAAAGTCAGTGAATCCTTTTAAGATGTTGGATAAAGACAAAGAATTTCTAACAAGTTAGGAATGGGGACAAAAGCAAAATGACTGGGAAAAGCTACACAGGACAGGGACTGGGGATTTAGCTCAGTGGCATAAGTGCCTGCCTTGCAAGCAGGTAGTCGTGAGTTCGATCCCTGGTACCGATTAAAAAAAAAAAAAAAAAAAAAAAAAAAAGACAAAACAAAACAAAAAAAGCTACACAGGACAAGAAAGAGTGTGCACTCAGATGACTTGTGTGTCTAAGCATGCCCTTCACATAAATAAAGTATGCATTGCAGGTAATGAATTTGTGACTGGTTTATCCGTGGATGTTAAGGTAGAACTATATAGTCAGTAAACCAGTCCTGAAGGCCCTGCTTTAAAAAAATGCAGTGCTAAGCATATACCTTAATATTTTAAGACAAAATAAAGTGCATAAAGTATGTGCCTCAATTGTGGAGGGTTCCCTCCTTAAATTGACTTTTTTATTTTTTTCTTTTTGATGAATTCAACATGGCTGGTCTACTTTTTGATGAAATCAACCATATGGCCCCAAATTTGAGGCCTTCAAATTTGAAGCCAGATAGTCAAGACAACCTGGGAAAAGTTGGTAAATGCTGTTCTACACAGCTCCAATGAAGCAGGTTATTTAGCCTGTGGTATTGTGTATACTAATCTGAGTGTCAGGGCTATTTCCTTCAAGGTGCTGCTGCTGCTAAGCCACACATTAGATTCAGATTCATGCCATGCATTGCCCAGTCTTCCACTTCAATGTCCAGCCACAGGGCCTTTGAGCTCATGGCCAAGAAGCTGTATCCTGACACTTCACGTGGAGGTAATGCTGGTGAGCCCACCCTCACCAGGGGGACTGTGGTTATGCTATCGATCACTGGGTTCTGGTCAGCTGTTCTGAAAATCATAGCTTTCCTCTCTGATGTATCTGTGAGGCCGTACAGATATTAGAGGAAGAGGCATCCAGGGTCCTCCAGCCTGCTCGGTGGTGGCCCTTCTAGGTTATTGCAGACTTAACCATTCTTCCACTAATGAATTTTGGCTCCCATACTCAAACAATAGGGCCGGGCCCTAATATGTCTTATAGCCATTTGAAAGAACTGTATGAATCCAGCCACTCTACCCTGGATCCTCCTATTCAATCTCTTCTGATCTCAGAAGTTAAGCAGGTCAGGCCTAGAGAGCACTCCAGGATGGGGGAGAGAAGACATACGGTCTAAAGAAGACATAAAGAGATGCCATTTTTATACCAAGATCAGCTAAATATCAGCTAAATGCAGCACCAACAAAGCTATGAGCAGTGGCACTGCGATCTATTATGGTTATAATACTGTGGTAACTGTATGCAAACCACAGAATTCCATGTTAGACTTATTGGCAAGTGTTGGGAAGTTTTTATGAAAACTCCTATAATTTCATGTTAGAATCATTGGGAAATATCTGGGCATTTAAAAAAATAAAATTTAGGGTGTGATTTCTATAGAAAAGGTTTCAGAAAAACAAATGAACCACTGGCATGGCTAATCAAGATTAATATGATTCTATTGGAAATAATTAAGCCCATCAGGAGAAATAAATTATGTTTTTAACAATTATAGTCTTCTTCTCCCCCAGAGCTCTTCTGAACTAAAATAACAGCCTGTTTTGGTGGAAATCCATTGTAAGGAGTTTCAAGAGCATGTGGTTAGTATGCTTTGCTGTGCTCATTTTAATCCCTTTTGTATGAGTTTTGGTTCAGACTCATATTTGGAATTTTGGAAACAAGAGAGGCAGCACTGTTTGAAACGCTAATGAGAAGTACTTCACAAAGGAAGGTTAGTGTTGAAATTACTTCAGTGATGACAAAATTCTCTAAATCAAGAAATGTTAATTTAAAAGATAATTACTATTCAATCTGATTTTCTTTGTTAAATGAAAATGACATTTCTTTTCCTATGCAAAGGTCAAAGAAAATTAATGTCTCTAGAAGAAAATATTGAGAAGATACCGATTACTGTATTTTTCAAAAGCTATGAATTGCTTTGAAGTGAATGAAACATTTCTTGCTTAGCTTGTTATGGCCTAGCTGAAAAGAGGCTACTTACTCCACGGCCGTGGCACTGCATTGCACATTCATGGACACCGAAGACACTGACATTTTGACACCGGCGATTGAGACAGATCTATGAAAAAAGGAAAACACAGCAAATATTTTAGAACTTTGCTTCACCTTCTCCCATGTATGAGTGTTAAAAAAAAAAGAAAAAGCACAGGAAGGCCTGGAAAAGTCTCCTGTTTCAGGTAAGGAGGATGCATGTGGCATTTGACCCCAACCTGGGTCTTGTCTGGCTCTAAACTCAGCACTGTTTGAGACTAAGTCTGATGCAAACTCTACTGAATTATCTTCTACTTTATGGCATTTGAAATGGTTTTAGTTAATCCTGAAGTTATAACTGACTTTTCTCATGATTTTTGTTTAGGGTTTGTAGTGAAGCCTATGTATTGAAGAACTTTTTTTCCATTTAAAAAACATAAGAGAGGGCAAGATTGATTAGTCTTCATCCTGAGACCTGAATGGACTCATAAACTACAAGAATCCAGGGTCTAAGAATCTTTGAAATGTGGGAGGTATTTCAAAATACTGACTGGCAAGTAGTATCACTAGTGACATAAACAAGCAACAGCATATGGAAGCAGAGGCTTGCATGGGTTTATCAAGCCATTCCAGAAGTGGGAATTTGCTAAATGACACTGGACTGGTGGAAAGAGTTTGAGCCCCATTTCAAAGGTGCATAATGTATTCCATATTCCAGAAATGAGGCCTTTCTGTTACAAATTAGTGGAGTCAAAGGGAGAAGAGTCTAGTTCTTACAATGCAAAACATTTTAACCCAGTAGAACATTCCTGTGGTGAAGGTCACCATCTTATTCCAATAGCTCATGCAAGGTAAGACCAAAGCCCTTTGAAGGAAGTGCCAACCCCAACAGCTCTGAGGAATCTGCAGGACCCCTGGGCAAAGAGATGTGACAGTTCTATCATATCCATCTGATAAGTAAATGGTTCTGGATTGAAATGAACCCAGCAGGACCTTGGTCAAAATCACAGTGCAGAGGTGCCACTTGTCTCTGAAGCCCGCAGGCAAGGCCAAAGGCAGCCACCAACGATAAATGGAGCTCTTGGAATCTCAGTGTTTAACAGTACCTGGGTCTGGTTGTTCAGACTATAACTTAAAAAGGGGGCTTCATTGTAATGTCAAGGCCAAACAGAGGTTAATGTGGTTAAGGGGTAAGCAAAACATGTCACTTGCTCTGCCTGCTATTCCCTATTCCTCAGGGAAAGAAGTCTGTCGCTTAGGTTTGTGTGGGGCTTCAGGGGTAAATGGAGACCATTTCTGCCTCTAGGATTCTGTAAAGAAAACAAAGTAGGTATCCTGTACCTACTTCTCTGTAGCCTCTGCATGAGTGATCTCACCATCATAATGAAAATGAGCCCTAAAAAAGCATTCGAAAGTCAATTCATTGTTTTTTTAAACATCTTATAAACATTCTGTCATTGAGTCTGATGAGAAATTTTAGTGAGAAGAAATTCATGTGGCAGAATATGAAAATCTGATTTCTTTATTTTTACTTTATTTGCAAATCTCAAAATATTTCCTGCTACTTTTCCCTTGTTCTATGAAGGGACTCCTTTTTGGTACTAGACTGACCCCCTCTCTTTTCTTCTACTCTTCTATGAGTCTCTGAAAATCTATCTGACTCCCTGTTCTGTCCAGGTAAGAATAAGCCCCCAAAAACTCTGTGTCAAAAGCCAAGCCACATTTCCAAAAACAATATACTATGCTATTGCATTTCTTTCCAAAGTAATTTCCTGGCTGGAAACCCTCATGACACCTAGGGTGTAGAAATGACTTATTAACACTAAATGGCTGAGAAGACAAGTTTGATTTTTCCCAAATCTGTATCTCAATGATCAGACTGGGAACTAGGATTTATTGACTTCTGGTAGGTGTAAAGAATTGGATTCCAGAGACCACATTTGAAGAGTGGGTTTAGGAAAATAAACCAGTCCTGTACTCTGGTTCTTAAATGGGCTATCTTTCAATGGGCATAGTTCCAGACTTACATTTATGATGCAAGAGAGAATTTGTGTCTTACTTTTCCATCTGCACATTTTGTCCCTGCAAGCACAAGCCCTGGGTCTGGCATGTCATCACCCAAGTACACGTGGGTCCCTCGGCACAGAATCCGACCTCCTTCCTGGAGTGGGATATTTGTTTCTATGGAAACAGCATTGGTACCAATGACTGGTCGGCTGGCACCTCCTTGACACTGGATTTTTCCACATTTAGCATCTCTGGAAGGATAAGAAGAAACAACCCCAAAGAGGAGCAGTTTGGAAGCAGCGCTTAGCCATGTGGGATAGCACAGTAATAACTGCTGGGAAGTATGGATACCATACCTTGTCTCACATTTGGCGAAGGAACTCTTGGAATCCTTACCACAGTTGCCATAAGGATCACCTGCTGAGTTGACTCTTTCAAAACAGATTCCAGGGGCAGGTTTGGCACCTGAAACAGAAGTACAATAGTACCTTCATCTCTGGCAAGGAATTTTAGTTTTCTTTGAATGGCATTGGAGTTAGGGGAAGAAGTGTTTGGTGCTCAGAGAAGTTGTACCCTGCATCTCAGCTGACTCAGGATAGGAGCTGGCTTTTGGAAGCCTGGTGTCAACAGCTAGCACTTCACCATGGCTCAGCTCATGGCAAAGCCTGTATTTCATTGTTCACTCTTCTCGAGGGCTGCTATCCAGGACCCACGGCATGTGCAGCTTCTCAGGGGATGAGGCCTAGCTGTGTGGCCAGATTTCATTCTTTGCAGGAAGGAGTTGGCTGGCTGGCTGCAGAGAGGGGAAGCATGCTGTCTTTAGCAACAGCCCACACAATTCCGGGGGGAAAATGCAAGCTAGGTTAGGTTCCAAAGAGCATTGATGACTAATGTGGGGAAGCAATGGGCGAGGAAAGGGAAAGAGGGAGAGAAGGAAAGGGAGAGGGACAAAGGGGTAAGAAGGAGAGGGAGAGGTAAAGGAAGAGGAAAAGGAAGGAGGAGGAGGGAGATGGAGGGAGAGAGAAAAAAACAACAAATGAATAAAGCAATCTTATAAAATGTTTTTAGTCCTAGAAAGCTCCTTACAAGAGCAAGCACTGGCTTCAGTTAATTCCTACTTTTTCAAGGCAAATGTCGCCCTCCTAGAGTCATAAATGCTGTTACTGCCAGTCTGCAGCAGAGAAGGTCACAGTAGCTGCAGAGCACAGTAGCAGCCATTTTTAAACTTTCAGCCAGATAAAGCAAAAGCATCAAATTGAGGTTTACAGTGTCAAACTTTAGGAGGGTTCTTGAGTCCTGTGCACAGTGATAGCCATAGAAGACCACTAGGAAGTCAGAAAACCCAGCAGATTCTTCAGCATAAACTGTGCCCTGTGCTGTGGTCTTGGCCCACTTTTCTCCCACCCGGGCATCCTATTTGCTCACTGTCTTTCACATCACTTTCAACAACCAGGATGTCCGCTTCCCACAGTACAGATCTGGCCCTGTCTTTCTCTGCTTTTTGGTCCAGGGAGACACTGTTTACCTTCTGAGGTAGCAGGAAAAATTAAATTTTAATCAATTGATAGGCAAAGCTCCCCACTGCATCCTTAAAATATATCTCTCATTCTTTTATCAGGGCCTGATTTCTCATTAGCTATTAACTGATACGATCATTTCACTAAAAAACAAGAAAAGCAACCCAAGACAACCACAAACAACTACTTAGAGCTTCTACCCTAAGTTACTCTGTCCATATCTCTCACCTCCCATTTATTTCTTAAACAGAATTTTTAAAAAAGACTGCTCCAAACTCTTAAGGGCCAAAATCTCAAATGTATATACTTCTGTTGTGGAAAAGGCCAGCTCAGGCTCTTTAGCCTCATACTCTTTCTCTTCCATAAAGTCGTATCTTTTTGGTCACAGTATGGTTATAACTTTGACATCCACAGCTTCTGCCTAGTGTGGGTCTGATTCTTCTGTAGTCTATCTTATAGTTCTTTCTACTAGGGAAGGAGGGATATATGGCAAATCTCAACTAGGCAAATCTCAACGAGGAGTCTGGACTTCATACATAATCTAATCCTATTTGGTGGTTCTCTTGATTGAAGTGCTTAGATCCACCTGATCAGTGCAGCTTGGAAACACTGGAATACTTGCAGTGCAATGGGGTGGGTGCCTTTGCTGGTTCCCTGCATGTTTACTGCTTGCCTATCCAGCTCTAGCTCCCTCCCGCCATCCATCCTTCTGTCTCTCATTATCCTGCTTGCTTCCTTCCTGGCCTCTTTCCATCCATGTTGCAGACTTCAACCATATACGTTTATTTACTTGGCACTTAAAATCTTCCAGAAACCAGAGTAGAGTGATGAACCATGGGTGGAATTATTTCTTTGGAAATGTCAAGGAGAAACAAAAAATAAATAAGTGAACATGCTTCACTGAAGTCTAGTGGTAGGGGTACCATAACAGAAAAAGAGAGTAAGGGGTTCCAGAGGATATTTTCTTATGTGTATTTTTTTTTTAAGACAGCCCGGTCTGGGGAACCCTCTAAAGAAGAAGCTGTGAGCTGAATCCCATCATTTAATCTTATTAGTGATTCCATAGGATAGGTCCCATTTTACAGATGAAAAATCTGGATGTATCGTGAACAACAATGGGTCACAGATGAAATTAAAGAAAATAAAAAGTATCTACAATTAAATAAAAATGCAGATACAACACACTGAAACCTGTGGAATGCAGTGAAAGCAGTCCTAAGAGGAAAATACATGAATTCTCACATCAGGAAAACAGAACAAGCACAAATAAATAACCTAGTGCTGCACAATCAAGCTTCTAGAAAAGCAAGTAGAGACCAAAGTTCATAGATGGAAGGAAACTGCAAAAATCAGAGCAGAAATTCATGCAACAGAGACTGGGAAAACAATACAGAGAATTAATGAATTGAAGGGTTGGTTCTTTGATGGAATATACAAAATTAATAAACTAGCCAACCTTATCAAGAAAAGGAAAGAAAAAACTCAAATCCATGCTATGAGGAATTACTATAGATCCTGTGGAAATTCAAAAGGTCATCAATATCTACTTTGAAAATCTTTATTCACATAGGCTGGAAAACACAGAATAAATGGACAGATTCCTAGTAACATATGAATTACCAAAGCAGAATCCAGATGATATAAAAATTTTGAATAACCCAATTTTAATTACAGAAATTGAAAATGTGATTAAAATATTACCAACAGGGCAAAGCTCAGGTCCTGATGGATTCATGACTGAATTCTGTAGAAATTTTGGAGAACATTTAAGGCCAATACCCTACAAACTCTTCAATGAGATTGAAAGGAAAGCAATTCTCCCTAACTCATTACTTGATGTAAGTATTACCCTGATACCAAAACCAAAAAGGGCAAGAACTACGGGGCAGTCTGCCTCATGAACATAGATGTAAAAATTCTGCAAACAGAATGCAGCAAATCATTAAGAAGATTATACATTATGACCAAGTGAGATTCATCCCAGGAATGCAGGGATGGTTCAACATATGCAAATCAATAAATGTAATACACCACATCAGCAGAACTAAAGACAAAAATCATGTGATCATCTCAATAGATGCAGAGAGAGCTTTTGATAAATTCCAACACATTTGTGATAAAAAACATGGAAAATCAGAATAGATGGTCTTTACCTCAAACTGATAAAAGCCATCTATGACAAACAGCCAACATCATACTAAACAGAAAATTAAAAAAGCTGAAAGCTCTCACTGTAAAATCAAGAGCAGATTTGTGGACTGAGGGGAGAGAGAACAAAGGCCATCCCAGCAAACAAACCCAGTCTGAGAAACAGCACCATGTGCAGGCCACTGCTGGACTGGGAAAAGCCAGACCCCTTGCAGTGTGTAGGGGGGCAATACAAGAAGTACCAAACCCCACTTCCACCCCCATAAGCAACTGGCTTATCTGGAGCAACACAGGCTGTGATGATAGCTATTGAGGTGAAATGTAATTGGATGCCTGTGGTGCTTTAGTGTTTCACCAACATTGCAGGTCTAGGGCCAGTGGTCTGATCATAGGTTCAGAGGATAGCGGTACACGGAGTGGCATCTTTCTGAGGGGTGTAGCCATTGTTGATTCCCTATGGTCTTGTTTTGAGGTCCTATATTGTTTCCATTGTTTTGTTGGGTTGGGTTTCACTCTCTCTTGTTTTGTTTGATTATGTTAAATCTGATGGCAGGAGCAGCTGTTTCAAAGATAGATGTATTATGGTAGCAATTTTGGATTTACTATAGTACTGTTTTGAAGTTCTTTATTGCGTTCATTGTTTTGTTTTTATTGCTTCTATTCTATTCTGTTTGACTTTTACTATGTCCAAAGTTATTTACATTATCTACAGCTATTTTTTTTGGTACTTTTTTTTTTTGGTACTGGGGATTGAACTCATGACCTTTTGCTTGCCATACAGGCAAGCCGCTGAGCTTTACCCCGGCCCTTCTACAGCTATTATGAAGACATCAAAAGGCATTATGGTAACTATTGTTGATTTTGTAATGCTTTGAAGCCTTGTATCTCTTACACTGGTTTGTTTTGATTGGTTTTATTGTGTTTAATCCTCTTTAAAATAAAATAAAAAAGAAAAGAAAATCAGGAGCAAATATTAAGCAGAACAATTAGACAAGAAAGATAAATAAAAGAAATGAGGATAGAAAGGAAGAAGTTAAATTATAATTATTTGCAGATGACATGATACTCTACATAGATGACCCCAAAGACTCTACCAAAAGACTCCTAGACTTAATAAACAAATTCAGCATCTTAGCTGTGTACCAAATCAACTCTCAAAAATCATTAGCATTCTTATACACAAACAACAAAGTCACTGAAAGAGAGGTTATGGAGATAAGGTCTTTCTTTCACAGTAGAATTCCCAAAGATGAAATACTTAGGAATCAATCTAACAAAGGATGTAGAAGATCTATACATTTTTAGTACTCTGAAAAAAGGAGATTGAGGAGGATATCAGAAGATGGGGGGGGATATTCCTTGTGGTTACTTTTCCTTTTGTCTCGTGGCTGGAACAAAACACCCGACACCCAAAATGAAGAAAGGAAAGGTCTATATAGCTCACTCTTTGTGGAGGTTTCAATCCATAATCTGCTGGCTCCAAGGCAGGGTGTCACGGCACCGGGGCAACACTTCAAGACAGCAACCAGAGCAAGAAAGGGGGAAAACAAGCCTCTTCTCTTTCTTTATATTGTACATAGACCCCTGGACCCCCCTTCCAAGGCAGGTGTAGCACTCACAAAATCTCTGTGCCTTCCTCTTGCACAGGAGGAGGATGTTTATAAAGTAAGGATCCTGGCTCCCTGCTGTCTCTCAGTTAAACTTACACAGTGCTCAAGTTGACACAATGTATCAACCATAACACCAACATTGTGAAAATGGCCATACTCCCAAAACTGTTATATAGCTTTAATGCAATTT